GAGTGAGACTGCTGTGTAATTGAGGAGCTCTATGTTTACCCTTTTGAGGAACCTCTAGGCTGCTTTCCTGAGTGGTTGAACAAGTTTACATTCCCACCAACAATGTAGTAGTGTTTCATTTTGGCCACATTCTTGCCAAAATCTGTTATCATTTGTTTTCTTGATAACTGCCATTCTAACTGGGGTGAGGTGTAATCTCAATGTACCCAAGATATGGAATCAACCCAGATAGCCCTCAGTAGATAAATGGACCAAACAAATGTGGTGTGTATACACAATGGAATTATATGTTTCCATCAGAAAGAATGACACCAGTTCATTCATAAGGAAATGGAAAGACTTGTAACTAATCATATTAAGTGAAGTAAACCCAAAGAAACAAAGGCTTCATTGTTTCCCTCATTTGTAATAATTAGTAAATGCAAAGGAAGCAGTGGTTCACAATAGCCCAATAGCTATGTACATGAGATATAAGACCACATAAAATAATGCTAATAAAAAGCATCTCCACAATATGGAAACAAGAGGTTTATTTGTGGTTGTTTTGTTTTCCTTTTTTTAGTGTACTGTTTGTAATTTTTTTTTTTTTTGTCGGTCGTGGGGCTTGAACTCTGGGCCTGGGCGCTGTCCCTCAGCTCTTCAGCTCAAGGCGAGCGCTCTACCACTTGAGCTACAGCGCCACTTCCGGTTTTCTGGTGGTTTATTGGAGATAGGAGTCTCAGGGTCTGCCCAGGCTGGCTTTGAACCGCGATCCTCAGATCTCAGCCTCCTGAGTAGCTAGGATTACAGGCGTGAGCCACCAGCGCCCAGCATTGTAATTATTTTTTGTCTTTTTTCTCCTCTGGTTTTTCCCTGTGGCCACTGTCTCTGATTTTGGTACTCTTTGTCTTTTATATAAGTTTATCTGATTTGGGGAAAGGAATGGGAATCACAGAAACAGTGGGACAAAGGATGAACCAATGCAACAGTGATACTCACTAGACGCTATGTTAAAAATGAATTTTACAACTTGGAGGGGGAAGTTGGGGGGAAGTAGAGGGGAGAAAAATAGGGAGCAGTAACACTGATTGAAAAGAAATGCACTAATTACCTTGCTTATGTAATAATAACTCTTCTGTACATAACCTTTACAATAATATAAAATAAGTGCATTTCTTTATGAGTAACCTCACCCTTTCCCTTGCTCTCTCCCAATTTAGTAAATTTATTTCTAAGCTATAAAGTTATATCAGGATCAGGTCTCAGTAGTTCACATATGTAATGCTAGCTACTCAGAAGGCTGAGATCCAAAGCCTCAAGATTGGAACTCAAATCTGGGCTGGAAAACTCCTTCAGACTCCATCTCCAAATGATAAACCGTAAGTTGTGGTAAACACATTGCTGAAGTGATAGAGCATTAGCTATAACCAAGAAATCTGAGAAAACACAGACCCTGCATTTCAAACTCTGGTACTAGAAGAAGGGGAAAAGTATGAGGGTGAATTTTTATTTATTTATGTTTTTAATGTCGGTCTTGGGCTTGAACTCTGGGCCTGGGTGCTGTCCCTCAGCTCTTCAGCTCAGGTTAGTGCTCTACCACTTGAGACATAGCAAAATTCCTGCTTTTTCTGCTTATGTGGTGCTGAGGAATCAAACCCAGAGCCTCATGCATGCAAGTGCTTGCCTTGGCAAACACTCTACCACTGAGCCACCTTCCCAGCCCATGAGAGTGAATATTGCAGAAGCAGTACACACACATACACAAACACACACACACACACACACACAGAGGGTGACCAATGGAAATTCTTATTAAAGAGGTTGATGGAGAAGGATTGTCATGGTTAAAAATTAGCAGTATTTCTGCTGGGTGCTGGTGAGCAGAAAAACTCAGAGACTGTCTAGGACCTGAGTTTAAGCCCCAGGACCAGCATCCAATAAAAATTAAGAAGGAAATAGCAATATAGATTGTGTGAATTTGATTAACAAGCATTATATAAATATATGGAAATATATGCATATATATGTATGAAACCCCTTTGTACAAATAAGTTATGGTAATAAAAATATAGGTGTTACATGTCTGTATTTCCTAAATATTAGGAGGGAGAGAATGGAAAATCCAGGTTCAAGAACAAGGATATAAGTTTGAGAGACTTCCCCAATTACTGGAGGCAGCAGCAGGACTCTGACACTCTGGTGACACTTCTAGCCATAAAGCAAGTCCTTACCTTGAAAATATGCTACACAATAATTGGAGGTATGGTTCAGGTGAGCACCTCTTTAGCAAATACAAAGCCTCGAGTTCAAATGCTAATATTGTAAAACAACTCAATCTAAAAAAAATACTATAAACCAGGCTCACGCTCATACCTGTAATCCTAGCTACTCAAGAGGCTGAGATCTGAGGATCTTTGTTCAAAGCCAGCCCGGGCAGGGAAATCCGTGAAACTCTTATCTTCAATAAACCACCAGAAAACCGGAAGTGGCACTGTAGGCCAAGTGGTAGAGCGCTAGCCTTGAGCTGAAGAGCTGAGGGATAGCACTTGGGCCCAGAGTTCAAGCCCCAGGACTGACAAAAAAAAATACCATAAGATATAATTTTTAATTATTTTTGTAAAAAACAAAATATTTTAAAGAAATACTAAAATTTTAATATTTTCTGTTTTAAAAATTGATTTCCAAAGATACATGGAATTTATTTTTTTGTATTTATAAAAATTTTATTTTTGAAAGTACTTGAGATTGAACTCAGGGATTTACACTTGCTATGCAGTCACTTTATCTTTTTTTTCTTACAATTACATGGGCAAGGTAATGAGTACATTTCTTATCAAGCATTGTTGCCTCCTTGTTGTTTCCCCTTCTCATCCCTTCCTGTACTCATCCCCTCCCCCCACCCCCCCCACCAAAGTTGTTAATTTCGTATTTTGACAACTTGTACATCTCATTGTTGCAATGGGTCCACCTGTATCCCTATTTAATTTTTTTTCCTTCCCCTCCACAAAGTATACCAACATCAAATGCAGTGAAAATAGGGGTTATATCATGGGGGAGGATATATTTATCTTTAGTGCTCTGAATCACATATCAATAGGTTTATCGATGAATAAAATAACATGGCTTGACCAAGAATGAATTAAGGAAAATTTCATGAAAAACAAGAGAAAACACAGAACAGGACACTACATTATTAGGTAGTAAAAGCTAGTATATTTATATCTTTTACTTTAAAAGTCTCCAAAAACTTGAAGGAATTTACAATGAATCATGTATGAAAACAATTTCCTTGGATAGGTTATCTGTAGAGAAATGAAAAAATAAAACACATTCTCTGCCTCAGGGTATTTATAAGTGGGTTAGAAACTCATTTGTGTACAGAAATACATTTTGCTGAAATTTAACAAGATCATCTAATTTCATATAATGAACTAGGTTTATAATATCTATAATCTTTATACACATAAGCTGATATTTTGTATCACTAAGTTTCTCTTAGCACCTTTCTTTGCTACTGAATATTGTCTATGTTGTTATGACACCAAAGAAACATTCTGGTCAAATATGTCAGGAGAAAGAATCATGACAGTATCAATCCAAGGCCAACATAACCTGGAATTTTTTTTTTTACTAGTACTGGGGCTTGAACTCTGGGCCTTTACTCTGCCCCTGAGCTTTTGTGCTCAAGATTAGCACTTTACCATTTGAGCTACAGCTCCCACTTCTGGCTTTTATGGAATTTTAAGATAAGTGTTTCATGAAACCTGATAGCTTCAAACTGCTATCTTCAGATCTATGCCTCTTAAATAGCCACAAATAGAGGGATGAGCCACCAGGACTGACTGCGTTATTCTGGCAAATTTTAATGAAACAACAATGTCCTTTCTTACTTCTAGTATTCACACACATACAAAAATACAACATCTTTTCATAACATTGAACTATTGGCATTTATCTGAATCCCAAAGTTCTTTGCTTCAAAATAACTAATGTATGTATAGTCTTTAGCTTTCCTTCTTTAAAAATGTCCTGTGTTCTTTATTTTACAAAATCTTAAAATATCACTAGTTTAAAACAATATATTCATACCTAAATATGTATGCAGTTTCAAAATTCATAAAATAATTTGATATTAACTTGGAGTTAGCTTGGCATGTTTCTTGGAAAATGAGCTGAATATGCTCATTTGAATGAGAACTCTAAAATGTGTTCAAATATAGAAGTTAAAAATGCAACAAAAATATCTAGTCTTTATATTGGATGAAAACATTTTTTCCTAGAGTGCCAACCATTCCCTGCTTTGGTTGATGACACTGAAATTTTATGCAAGTTTTTCAATGAACATTCATATTTACAAGTCTTCATAGTATTGAGGCAACAATAGAGCAATAGCTGCAGTCTGTTATCTACTTAAGAACCTGTAATACAAACTTAAGGCTTAAAAAAGATTTGCTATTCAAATTAATTTTGAATATTCAGATAACCCCAACTGTTGAATACAGTGTCTAAAAGTATTAGGATTTCAATACAAGTGTAAAATTCTACAACATCTTTCTTAAAAAATAAGCATTGACACTTGTTTTCAGAGAACAAGCTAAAAAACATTGTAAAGCTGACAACATATAAACTATGTATGGTATGATCACAATAAACTACAGCTAGCTCTTCAGTATAGATTTCAAATGTAATTAGAAAGTGTTGTTAATAAACTATATAGTAGGCATGGGAAATAACTAAAGTTATACTGTTTTCATGTTGGTAATAAGAGGAAACAAAGAAAATGTACACAATTATATAAACATGACTGCCGTGGATCTCCTCTTCAAACGATGCTGTTGGAGTAGAAAAATCTTAAAAGCTAATTTTTGAAGGACGTTTTTTTCTCTGCTTAGAAGTCCAGTGGTTAGGTTTGCTCAGCTCCATCTGGAAGACAAACAACACAGTGTTTCACAATGAAATATGAAGAAGCTAAGCTAAACTGAAAGTTAAATATGTGTACCTTGCAAAAGAGGCAATCATCTTTAGCTCCAGAGACCTACATAGTTCCCATAGAGGTCTGAATGGAGTGGGCCCCCAGCCACAAAAAGCTTCAGCTCTGACCAGTTGTAGCAGTGGGTATAGACCGCATTTGGAAATTCCTGCATACCAATGTAGGAGTTTACCCAGAGGTCATCATGGATGAGCCAGCCTCTGCTACAGGAGAGTTTCAACTTCTTTCCTGTAGGACTGCAAATGGCATCTGGATCAGGTGATGACTTTTCCTCTAGGAATTTCTGGGCACGGATGTCACAAAAGAGCAAAGAGCCTCTTCCAGTGCCAACCGTGACAATGTGCTGGCAGGTACTAAGTGAATGTACACCTAGGCTACGTTCATAGGAGCACATGGACTGGATATTTTGCTGGGGTTGGCGTGGATCCAAGAAGGAGATGTGAGACTGGGAGCCAACAACATACAGGGAGAACTCATCACTGTAGGTCAGGCACAAGTTGTCTCGGCAGTGGGGCAGCCTCACGGACTGAAGCTTGGATAGGTTGTTTTCTGCTTTCCAGAGGTGGACATAACCATCCAGGGATAATGCTCCCAATTCCTGGTTTTTGGCACTGAAAGCTAGGTCTCGCACCTTTTGATTATCCATGCTGTTGGAGGATGTAGGAATAGCCTCCACAAATATAGGACGAATGTGACCATACATTAGAAGCTCTCTCTCATTGTGCCAAGTAATGCTGCCAGTGAACATATCAGAGTCTATTCGCCAGAGAGCCACGGTGCCATCACGGGATCCACTCACAGCCACAGAGTCAGTCACCCACGCAATAGCAGAGATCCAGTCTGTGTGGCCTTCTCGGTCACCCAAGCAGAAGGGTTTGAGAGTGGGCAACTGGTAGACTGCCAGGCTGCTGGAATTTTTACCCCCGGTGGCCATTAGAGTCTTGGAAGGATTCAGCTCTACGGCATGGATGCCACGGGTGGGTTGGGCCCAGGCCACATAGGGGGCCATATCTCGAAGGAGTGGGAGGTGCGTGATGTGGCCCGAATGCACATCCACCACGAAAAGCGTGTTGCACTTGGTGCCGCACACCACCTGCCTGGCATTCAGCCACTGAGAGGCGAACACCTTGTTCAGGGTGCCCAGGAACAGCTGGCGTTCGCGCAGCATCTCGGGCAGCCTCTGCACCACGTAGCCACTCATGCCGCCCTGGAAGCCCTGAACCTTGGCGCCCACCTCGCGCTGTTTCAGGTAGTGCACCAGCGAGCGCCGCACCTCCTGTCGCTTCTGCCGCTTAGCCACCACTGGCCGTTCTCCCTGGCCTGCTTCCCTGGAGCCCAGTGATGACAATGTCGTTGTCCAGCTCCCATTTCCCTCCTCCTCAGCCTTTACCTTCACTGTGCGTGATTGCTGCTCAGCCATAGCGAGCGACTACTCGCCTACGCGGTGGTCTGGACCGTTAAGTCTAGAGCGAGAGGTGTCAAAGGTCAAGAGTCTGTGACGCACTTTTAATATGGCGTCCCTAGTCCGTTGACAACAGAGTGCTTAAAGTGATGAGGTTAGGCAAGAACCGAGTGTGAAAGTGACTTTGGTTGGCAGCGAAGGTGGCAGCACTGATATGAAGAATGCTGCAGCGGCAAATATGATCTGGACGTAAGCACAGAAGTCTCTAGAAATTGAGAGGACAGAGACCGGAAATGGTGAGAAACTTGGGAGTGGCCGGAAGGGCAGAAATACTGTGAATGATTGGCAGTGCAAGCCTGACCAAAGGTGGCAATAGGAAGCAGGTAAGATAGGGCACAGGGGGAAGACTGGGTAGACACAGTTCGGACATTTAAGGTAATAAAATGTATATCAAATGTAAAATAATAAATGACATATTAGTACAATAATAATCAGTAGTACCTATCAAATAAGCTTATAAACCAACTTACTAAAATACTGCAAACAATTGATGATGAAAACTGTCAAAGGTACAAATAACTTATAGGAAATGGAGAAAAACAAATACAAATATTAGGGAACATTAATCAAGTACCACGTTTTAAACCCATATGTGTGTATGGTGGCTCATGCCTTTAACCCTAGCTACTCAGGAAGCTGAGATCTGAGGATCCGCATTCAAACCCAGTAGGGACAGAAAAGTCCAAGTGATATTCTTACCTCTACTAAAAAGCCAGAAATAGAACTGTTGCTTATGTGTTACAACTCCAGCCTTGAGAAAAATAAACCTCAGGGACAATGCCCAGGTGAGCTTAAGACCAGCACATGCAAAAAAATTATCTTAAATATCCATGGTCTATAAATGCGAACCAATTTTGGAATGGTGGTTGTTGTATATACATTTATCTGAACTGCGGAATGGAAGGGAAACAAAAAAAGTGTGAGACAAAGGAGAAAGGAAGAACCAACGCAACAGAGATAGTCACAAGACAATATGTTGGAAATAATCTGTATAACTTGGGGGGATGGAAATGGGGGAAAAGGAAAGAGACAAAATGAGGGAAATTAGACATGAAATGTGCTCATTAGCTTACTTAAGTAACTGTCACCCCTCTGTACATTACCGTGAGATAAAATTAAAAACAAAAACAAAGACAAAACTGAAAACAGGGGTTATACCGTGGGGGAGGGACATACAGAGCAACAACAAAAAAAAATCACATAGTACCTTATAAATAACAAGCAAGAAAGAACCACTTGTGTCCCTATCTTGGGGTTCATTTCACTTATCATCTTATCTGACCTTTTCTGCTTGTCCCAGACATGTAGGAGTTATTGCAAATAAAGGAAACCACCCCTGTTTTCACTGTATTTGATGTTGGTATAATTTGGGGAGGGGAAGGGGAAAAAAATTTTTTTTAGATTTATTTATTAAACATTGCTTTCTTTTTAAAATTTTTTATTATGAAAATACCATAGGGATACAGATTGACCCATTGCAACAATGAGATGTATAAGACGCTACGTGGAAAAATGAACTTTACAACTTTGGAGGGGGAGGGGAGTGTAGTCGTGGAGCTGGGAGGGCAGGGATGGTAGGGGGAAAACAAAGGAGGAGGCAACAATGCTTGATAAAGAAATGTACTCATGACCTTATAACTGTAACCCCTCTGTACAGTATTTTCACAATAAAAATGTATGTAAATTTTTAAAAAGATTGTTAGCCCAGCACATGTGGCTCACACCGTTAATCCTAGCTACTCAGAAGGCAGATATCTGAGGATAGCAGTTCAAAGCCAGCCTGGATAGGAAAGTCAGTGAGATTCTTATCTCCAGTAAACCACTAGAAAACCAGTAGTGGAGCCGTGGCTCAAGTGGTAGAGTGCTCCCCTTGAGCTGAAGGGCTGAGGGACAGTGCTCAGGCTCTACAACCGACAAATAAAAAAAAGATTGTTAAAATGGATTAAAATGAAAATATGACACCTCAAAAATGTTTTCTTCAAGCAAGATCTTTTAACTATAAGAGAATTAAGAGGGTTGGAAAAACATGTAATGGAAATATTAATTTTAAAAATCAGGTAAGGCTGTAATATTAGCTGAAAGGGACAAATTTTAAAGAATTAATAGGTTGAAAAAATACAGGTCAGTGTGTTACTACAGAAAGCTAGAACTATTCCAGCAAGAATACCTAACAAATCTAAATTTATACATGCCACAACAGTAACACTAAAACTCATAAATCAAAATCGATCACATTAAAAGAAAAAAGACAAATCAATCCCTACACTCAACACTTGACACCATCAATAAAATACTAACATAGAACTAGAGAAACAATTAGACCTAGCTGACATATATAATACATTTTATCTAACCAAAGAATAATAAACATTTTTCTTACGCACATGAAAAACTAATGAAAAGTGTATAGACACCCACAACAAACTTTAATATACTGAGTTACTAGAGTATGTTAACTATGGAATCAAACAAAAAAACAATTACATAAATTTGAAAGCAAAATCTTGGAAAGTATTCACTACTCAATAATAATATTTAGGTTCAAATGGAAAGTTTTTGAGAAAATAATATGTTTCCTACAACATTGTGCAATGAAAGTGAACAATACCAAGACATAGACAACAAAACTAAATTAGTATTAAGGAAAGATTTATTCTGCTAAGTATTTTCATTAGATACGAATAAAAGTCATAGTTTAGGTCTCATTGAAGAATGAAATCAAATTAAATGCAAAACTTGCAAGAGGAAAGAATGTGATAAGGAAGAAAGTAAATTATTTAAGATTCTTTAAGCAGGAGGTTGTCATATCTATTTCAAACTATACAGATTAGTAATTGAACTTAAACACTGTGCAGTTGCCTCATTTGTGAAAACACTGAGACATTTATAAGTTTTATATTCTATTGATACAATTTAGGAAAACCTATCCCATCTCCCACAAATCTGATCAGACATGTCATTTCATTTCAATTGTCTACACTATCCAATAATTTCTGAATTAACAAAACTAAGTTTGAAAAATTGTACAGGCATCAAATACAGTGAAAGCAGGGGTTATACTGTGGGGGAGGGACATACAAAGCAATAAACAAATAATCTTATAAATGTATTAGAAACAATCGCATGAAAGAAAAAAAAAACATTTAAATACATATCTAGGGTTCATTTCCGTAACATCATTGTGGAGGGGAAGGGGAAAAACATATCGTTTAAATATGGATACAGGTGGGCCCATTGCAACAATGAGATGTACAAGTCGTTATGTGAAAAACGAACTTTACAACTTTGGTGGGGGGAGAGGATTGGGTGGAGGGGTGGGGGAAGGATGGGAAGGGATGGCAAGGGGAAACAAAGGAGGAGGCTACAATGCTTGATAAGAAATGTACTCATTATCTTGCCCATGTAATTGTAACCCCTCTGTACAGTATTTTCACAATAAAAAAAATTGAAGAAATAGTGTTTGAAAATATTTACTGAAACTTATTGCTCAAGCAATGTCTTCATTCTATAAATGTAATGATTTGTTTAAAATATCTTCGTTATAGTTTTAAACTTTGTCTAATTCTTGATGATGCAATATTGCAACATTTGGTTTTATACTCAATCTTTTAAAATTGTTCTCTGTCATGTTTAAATGAATATAAATCAAAGTAATAGGTAATGAACTAATAGAGATACAGTTAGAAACAGTTTTTCATTGCACCTTCTATGCATTTTTATATACCTTCTAATTCTGGCTATTAGTACTGCAAAAATATTATTGTAATTTATTTTTGCAGTACTGGAGTTTGAACTTAGTGCCTCACATTTCCTAGGCTGGAACAATACCATTGAGATCTTGCTTTTCACACATTGTTGTTATGATTTTAAGAGCCACACTTCCAACCTGTCTTTTGCAGGTTAATTACGAATCTCATGGACTTTTATGCCCAGGCAAGCTTTGAACCTAGATCTTCCTTGTTTCAGCCTCTTGAGTAGTTCACTTTACACATATGAGTCACAAGGTACTCAGCTTCACTGATTAATTTTAGAATAAGGTCTCACTTCTCACCAAAGGTATGTGCCTGAATCATAAACCTCCTATTTTGAGGGGCTTCTCCTCTTTGCCCAGAATCACCTCCAGGAACATTGCTTCTGTGGAAACACAGTCTCTCAAACTTTTCTTTCCCAGTTTACATAGTACAATGATCCTCCCAATATCAACTTCTCACATAGCTTTGGATGACAAGTGTATACCCCCGTACCCAGCTATAACTTTAAAAAAATCTTTCAACTTTTCTGCCCCCATGGGCCTCAGATTATGATCCATTCATTCTTAGATATCCAAGTAGCTCAGTTTACATGTGTGGGCAACTGCCACTCAACTTGTGAATAAAATTTTAAAGGACAGCTAGGTGCAAATACCTCATTCCTGCACTTTTAACTACTAGGAAAGGAGAGCTTGGGAAGATTGTACTTTAAGGTAAAACAGGCAAAATTTCATGAGACCACAGGTCAACCAATATATAGCTGAACAAAGTGGGTTACAACTGCCATTCCAGCTATATAGGGAGCATAAATAGAAGTAGCATAATCAAGGCATATTCAGTCAAAAAGGAAGATTTTATTTTATATCTAACACAACATATAAAAAGTCTAGAGATGTAGCTCATTTTGTAGAGGATCTGCTTATCAAGTCCTAAGAACAAATCCTAGTATTACTCCTCTTGCCCCACCCCCAAATTAGAATACAACTGTATATATGTGTAAAAAATTCAAACATAAACTTATTTTTAGAAAAAATGCAAGCAATATTTTTAAAAAGGGTCTTCATGGGAATGACTATAAGTAAAATTACCTATCACACAAACAACTGCTTAAAACATAGATACCTTTACGTTGTATATTCTGGCTTTTACACAGTGGTTTAAACCAATGAGGTATTTCTATTTCAGTCTAGTTACCACCACAGATGACCA